ACAATAGGGGATGGATTAAAGTATGGTGTAGTCACACAATGGAACACAAGGCAGCTATTATTTTTTAAAAGTCCTAGAGAAAAGCAACTTGCAGAAAAATTTGTAAGGCATGATCCCATTTTTATTTTAAAATACAGATAGATTTATGTATCTATGAAGAGAAAACAGTCCATAAAAAGACCTTTTAATTATTAATAGTAGTTACCTCCAGAGTAGGGGTAAGGAGAGGGGGGCTATAATAAAAATTAAATTTTTAAAAAGGGTACCATGGGCTTTGCTGATGGTGCAGTGGTTAAGAATCCACCTGCCAATGCAGGGGACATGGGTTCGAGCCCTGGTCCGAGAAGATCCCACATGCCACGGAGCAACTAAGCCCATGCACCACAACTACTGGCCCTGGGCCCTAGAGCCCACAAGCCACAACTACTGAGACCATGTGCTACAACTACTGAAGCCCGCGTGCCTAGAGCCTGTGCTCTGCAACAAGAGAAGCCACTGCCATGAGAAGCCCGTGCACCGCAATGAGAGTAGTCCCTGCTCACCACAGCTAGAGAAAGCCCGTGCGCAGCAATGAAGACCCAATGCAGCCAAAAACAAATAAATTAAAAATAAATAAATAGAAAGGGTAACATTTTACAAGGGGAAAAAAACACATTCAAGTCCAGCCACTGTTAACTAGAGGAAAGATCAACTGGATTCAACCTGAGCTCCTTAAGGGCAATAACTTTTTCACAGATTCTGTACAACTGTTCTAGCACCTAGCACAGTAACTGACTGACACAGAGACCAATTACTTGACTAGCATGTGGAAGGTGGAAGTACACATGCATGTGCACGTACACACACACACACACACACGCACACAAAACCCCTGTTTCTTAAGTGTCTGCAGACTAGTGGAGTCATGGTAGTCAGGGATTTTTGTTTTCAATAGAGACTGAAGTAATGCTGCTCAATAGAAATTTGTGTGATGATAGAAGTGCTCTCCACATATGCTGTGCAATAGACCAAGTGAATTGGACATTGGAAATGTGGCTAGTGCAAGTGAATAATTGCATATTAAATTTTATTTAATTTAAATTAATTTAAATTTAAATCACCACACATGGCTAGTATTAGACAATGCAGATTTGAAGGATTTGTTGAAATACATAGACTCCTCAGAAAAAAACATGCATACAGAAAATTTTGCATACAATTTCAAGAGATCCAGGGACCCTATCAAGCCCATCCATGTGTCCTTACTTCAAGAACTTCTGAAGCTGACTAAAAGAATGCGAATAAGACAAACAGGACTAGAGAGGGAAAGAAAATGGGCAAAGGTTAATGTTCCCATTCAGAACCCTGGAAGACAACAGACTAGGTATGGAGATAGCCTCTGCCCCCTTCCTCCTCCCATCACACAGAACATTGACCTCCCTGTATGTTAACTGTTTACTGGTCTTCCTCACATCATGTTGTACACTGCAGACTGTGTACTCCATAAGAGCAGGGACCATATCTATCTTATTCACCATTATATAAACAGAGTCTGGTATAAAATTAATACACAGTTGGTACTCAAATGTCTGCTGAATGAATGAGTTTTACCAGGCATCTGATTTTTGCCAGTCCTAGGAAACCAGAGCTCCTGAGTTAAGGAGGGTCTCAGTGATAAGAGGAATTGGTTGGCTCATAAGAGATTAAAGAGAGTTTTCACAAAGCTGGGCAGATACTCAGATCGATGTGAATCTTGTCTTAGCCAGGCTGTTTCTATGCTTTGTAGTTCAGAGCGCCCTGTTGAAATACAAGCCATGCAAAGACTTCCATAGTCAGTGACAGTGAATCATACACTGAGACCAGAGGGCCAAAAGTCCCCAAAACATTTCTCCTTGGGTGCCACCTCCATCTTCTCTAGCTCTGGAATACCCCTGCCTTCTCTTACATTTCCCCTCTACCTGGAATCCTTCTCATGTCTCTACTGGGCAAATTCTAACTCATTGTTAAACGCCTCTTCCTCTGGGAAATCAGTGCTGGCACTTCCAGACTGAATTATGCCATATGTCCGCTGTTCCCTTTGTATTTTGCACACTTAAACATATGTGCTCTATCAGGGCAGAGCCTAGTCATTCATTTCTGTATCCCAGCACTAAATAATGTCTGGCATATAGTAGGTGGTTAACAACCAGTATGAACCACTAAAAGCATATAAACTCAATGTGTTTCTCCACCCACACTACTGTTCAGTATGTGCCATCCTAATGAGTGTGAGGTGATATCTTTGATAGTTTTGATTTGCATTGTCCTGATGTTGAGCATCTTTTCATATGCTTGTTGGCCATTTGTATGGCCTATTTAGAGTATAGGTTTCCTTTTGGGTGAGGAAAATGGCTACTATCAAAAAACCAAAGTAACAAGTGTTGGAGAGGATGTAGAGAATTGGAACCCTTGTGCATTGATAGAATTGTAGAATGGTGCAACCGCTATGGAGGGCCCTCAAAAAATTAAAAGCAGAAATACCATATGATCCAGCTGAGGGAAACCAAAATGTCACCCCAAAATATGCCCCTTCCTCACTCCCACTGCAGGAGACACGGGTTGGATCCCCAGTCGGGGAACTAAGATCCTGCATGCCCTGTCACACGGCCAAAATAAGGTTTATGTTAATGCAGTGACTTTTGGAAAACCCTTAAGGTTGGGAGCTGGTTGCCAGAGGAACCAACCCTGGAACTTCCAGCACCACCATCAAACTCCAACCTCTGGAAAAGAAAGGCTAGAGTTTGACTTAATAACCAACGGCCAATGATATAATCAGTCATGCCTTGGTAATGAAACCTCCCTAAAAATCTCTAATGACAAGGTTCAGAGAGCTTCCGAGTTGGTGAGCAAGAAGGCATCCACATGCTGGAGAGTGGCACACCTGAGCTCTACGGTATGAGAAGCTCCTGTGCTCAGAACCCTTCCAGACCTAGCCCTGTGTATCTCTTCATCTTGCTTGTTTTTCCTGTCCTTTAAAATCCCTTGTAATAAACCAGTAATTGAGTAAGGAAACTGCTTTCCTGAGTTTTGTGAGCCATTCTAATAAATGGTTGAACCTGAGGAGGCGGTTGTGGGAACCTTTGATTCACAGTGGGTCAGAAGCACAGGTAACAATCTGGACTTGCCATTGGCATTTGAAGTTGGGGAAAGTCTTGTGGGACCAAATCCTTAACTTGTGGCATCTGACCCTATCTCCAGGTAGATGGTGTCAGAGATGAGTTACAGTGTAGGACACCCAGCTTGTGTCAGAGAATTGCTTGATGTGGGGAAACCACCACATATTTGAAGTAGAGTATTCTGTGAGTAAAGGAAAATGAGTTTTTCTTTCCTGGTATCTAAAATAGTTAAACACATAGAAGCAGAGAGTAGAATGATGATGCCAGGGATTGGGGGCAGGGGGACATAGGGAACTGCTATTCAACAAGTATAAAGTTTCAGTTACGCAAGATACTTAAGTTCCAGAGATGCTGTACCACACCATGCCTACAGTTAACAATATCGTATTGTACACATTGAAATTTGTTAAGGTGTAGATCTCATGTTAAGTGTTCTTACCATAATAAATAATAAACAAATAAAAGTTTTGTGAATCACAGGACACTGCCAATAAAGTGAAAAGACAACCTACAGAATGGGAGAAAATATTTGCAAATCATGTATCTTTTAAGGGTCTTATATCCAGAATACATAAAAACTCTTATAACTCAAAAACAACAAGCCAATCTGAATTAAAAATGGGCAAAAGATTTGAATAGACATTTCTGCAAAGAAGATACACAAATGTCCAACAAGCACATGAAAAGATGTTTAACATTATTAGTTACAAGGGAAATGCAAATCAAAACCACAATGAGAGGGCTTCCCTGGTGGTGCAGTGGTTGAGAGTCCGCCTGCCAATGCAAGGGACACGGCTTCGTGTCCCGGTCTGGGAAGATCTCACATGCCGCGGAGCGGCTGGGCCCGTGACCCATGGCCGCTGAGCCTGCGCGTCCAGAGCGGAGCCTGTGCTCCGCAACGGGAGAGGCCACAACAGTGAGAGGCCCAGGTACCGCAAAAAAAAAAACCAAACAAAAAAACACCACTATGAAATAATACTTTAATCCCACTAGAATGACTACAATCAAAACAATGGAAAACAACAAGTGTTGGTGAGAATGGAGAGAAACTGGAACCGTTGTGCATTGCCCGTGGGAATGTAAAATGGTTCAGCTGCTGTGGGAAAGTTTGGTGATTTCCCCCAAAATTAAACACAGAATTACCATATGACCCAGCAATTCCACTCCTTGGTATGTACTTGAAAGAACAGAAAACATGTGTTCAAACAAAAATTTGTATACAAATGTTCATAGCAGCACTATTCACAACCGCCAAAAGGTGGAAACAACCCAATGTCCGTCAACCGATGAATGGATATACAAAATGTGGTTTATAACCATGCAATGGAACATTATTCAGCCATAGACAGGAACGAAGTACTGATGCGTGCTATAAATTGGATGAACTCAGGGAACTTCCCTGGCGGTCCAATGGCTGACTCTGTGCTTCAAATGCCGGGGGCGCAGGTTTGATCCCTGGTCAGGGAACTAGGATCCCACATGTCACATGGCGTGGCCAAAAAAACAAAATGGGATGAACCCTGAAAACACGATGCTAAACAAAAGATGACAGACACAAAAGGTCACATATTATGTGATTCCATTTGTAAAAAATGTCCAGAATAGGCAAATCCATAGAGACAGAAAGTTGACGAATGGAATCAGGGGCTGGGAGGAAGAGGAAATGGGGATTACCTATTTAAAGAGTACGGGTTTCCTTTTGGGTGATGAAAATGTTTTGGAACTAATTAAGAGGTTATGGCTGCACATCACTGTGAATGTATGAAACACCACTAAACTGTATATCTTAGAATGGTAATTGTGTTATGTGAACTTTACCTCAATTAAAAAACCAAAAAGACTAGTAAGAAAACCAGACACACAAGGTATTAGAAAAAGAGATCTATTTTACAAACCAAAAAGTCCCCAAACTCTAGCTGGAGGGAGAAGGAAGGAGGTAGCAAGTATGAGCAGGTCCTTTAAGAGCCCAATCTCACCCCTGAGAAAGTCTGAGTACCACCCCATGTGGTCAACTCCTACTTCATGGCCCATCCCCGTTCCAGTCTGAGAAGTAATCCCTCCATTGGCCACAGCCCTCAGTCCTCTTGCCAGTCATCCTGTGCCCAGGCAGGCATGGGTGAAAAGTACTTGAAGTCTGGTCCTTTATAGCACAGGGCATGCAGGAACATCACAAGGTCCTGCGGCAAGGGGTCCTGTCGCACTAGCCGGCACTCTGCACAGAGTGGGTCTGTCTCTTGATCCACGACATCGATTTCCGTTGCCTTCCCTGATGCCAAGGGCACTGTGTCCAGATCCTGAGGGCCTGCCTCAACTGCTCCATCCATCTTCTGGGCAGATGCAGCCAACTCTCCTAGGCAGTCTTTGCCCAGCTCTGAGGAAGGGGCTGTAGAGTCTGGGAGTCCTGGAGACAGGTCACCCTCACAGAGATCTAGCACATCCAGACTCTGTTTGGCCTGGTGCTCTGCCACAAGGTCCCGCAGTAGTTCCTCATCTGTCTTTGGAATGTGGCCGCCTCGGCCTCGGGAGGGGCCCCAGGCGATTGAGTTGTAGATGGGGTCATTGAGAATGGGGTGACCCAGGAACTGGAGGTGGACTCGGATCTGGTGGGTGCGGCCTGTGAGTGGCCGGCACCGTACCACACTGGAGTGGCCATTGTAGCTCAGTCTCTGGAACACTGTCTCACAGGGCTTGCCCCGAGGATCTACACGGCATACCCCTACCTTGTAGGACACCACCAAGATGGGTTCCTTGCAGGTTACTTCCTCAGCAGGGAACTCCCCCTCCACCCGGCACACGTACTCCTTCTCCAGCTACACAGGAGGGGAGAGGGAGAAAGTCAGCACAAAGCCTAAACGCATGAAGCCCAAACCCTCTGCAGTGAGGACAATGGACCTGTGTCAGACATTAAAGGATTCAAACCCCAGCTCCACCATTTGCCAGTTGCGCAATCCTAGGCACATTACTTACTTAGCCTCTTTAAATCCCATTAACTTGTCTGGAAAATGTTTGATTAGAAAAGCATTTACACCAACAGGGCTGTTATACGGATTCAGTCAGCTGGGCTCTAACGTACTTGGTACTGGAGCTTGGTATACAGTAAACAATAAATATATTACAATCAGATCCAGAATTACAAGTCTCAAGACCACAATCACCACCATTTAACTCTTCTACCCAAGCATCTTCCAACGCCATCCAGAATTCTTCCCACCAAGTAGATTCTCACCACAGTCTTAAAAACCCTGCTCAGCCTGTCAGCACTTTAAATCTTCAAAACAGCATATTACTGAGAGGCAGTATATGCCATCTCTAAAGATCTTTTGAAACATGAGAGATAATAACCTGTCTCTGGCACTTTAGGTGTTGACCTTCCTGAAGATAGGCGGCATGACCAGATAAACACGAAGGCTCACTTCAGATCTAGAACTCAGTGACACCCTTTCAACACAGAGCATTCATGAGGTCAGAAGGTGGCCTGCAGGAGGCAAAAGCTTGGCTCACCTGCCGGTCCCGAACCTGTTCATGAATTCTCTCCGAGACGGCTGCTGTCTTGGCAAACATAAGGACCCCAGAGGTAAGGCGGTCAAGCCGATGCAATGGGTGTAGCTCCTTGAGTTGGTGCTCCTTGCCCAGGATGAAGATGACCGTGTTGTGTCGGAAGCGGCCACAGGGGTGGACAGGAATGGAAGAAGGCTTGTCTACAACCACCACATCTTCGTTCTCTGCTAGCAGGCGGACGGGTTCTGCTGTAACTGGTGGCTCATGCCTGTGCACTGTGTTCCGTAAGAAGTCATTGTCCTGCCAATGACATAGGCAACCAGTCAGCCCAGGGTCCAGCCACCTATAATCAGTCAGCAGCACACACAGCTTCCTCCCCTCTTCCTTACTGACATGGAAGAATGGTCACAGTACATCCTTAAACAGAAAAAGCAGTGTGCATAGTGTAGTCTCACTTTGCAAAAACACAGACATACAGGTAGATAGCAGACATTGAAAAACTCATAGGATATACACAAAATGTTAACGGTGATATCCCTGGGTGGTAAGAGTATGGATTTTTGTTGTTATTCTGCTTATTCGTATTTTCTCTACCACAAAGTTATATTCGAAAAGTAAATTTTTCTAAAATAAAGGGAAAAAACCTCCATAAATCATCACTTATTGTGACCTTGAACAAACACCAAGCTCTAAGTCCAGAGATTTGGGCTCTACACCTGGATTTGCTATAGGCCTACTGTATGCTCTAAGGAAAGTCACTTAACTTCTCTAGGCCTCAGTTTCTTCATCTGTAAAATGTGAGGGTCAGTCCAGACCTCTGCTTCTCAAAACTGGGATGGGAGAGGGGATTCAAACCACTCACTCTCCAAATGCCTTGCATCCCCTCACAACTATGGTGAGGCAGTGTTAATAACAAGGGTGTCTGGTACCTCAGCTGTGATGGAATTTTAAAGAGTCAAAGCACTGGGCTAGACAATTCTAGTCTCAATCTCTGTCATTTCACAATTCTATCTTATCAGGCTCTGTGATAAATAATTTAAGCAGAAGTTATAAGGACACAGGCGTTGGAAGTGGCACTGTTACCTTACCTCTGTGAGGTTTACCTTAGTTTTCTCAGCTTCCTCACAGGTAAAATGAGGTGGCAGTATCTACTCCACAAGTTTGTCATTAGAATTAAATGTTAAAGTACCTAATGCTTAACTCTGTGCCCAGCACACAGTCAGGAGATATAAATGATAGTCTCGGTTATTACTATTTGTATAGAGATCTACAACGCAAGGTAGAAAGTCATAAGCACCAGTGCCACAAGACAGTGCGTAAAAGGAGCTATGAGAATTACAACCTCTGTCCCTTGGAAACACCGAAGACGCCTTGATGGAGGGGATAAGTGGGCTGAGTTCTTAAGCATACAGGCTGTCTACCTGCGGAGATGGGGCGCTAAAAGAGTGTTCCAAGTGAAAATGAGAACGCTTCAGAATTACCCCGATTTTACTCCAGTACCTATGCCCTAGTAACTATGAAATAAAACCCTGCCCCCTTTTGGGCAGGCCCCATGAGGACTCCACCTTGAGCACAACGCTGAGGTCCTGTACTGGCTCCTCGTTGAGGTGCAGGCGTCCTGCCCTGACCGCGGCTTCGTAGTAGGCAAGAGGCTGGGCTCGGAACTCGGTGCTGAAGACGTGCAGCAAGCTGTGGCCCACCCAGCGGCCTTTGCAGTAAGTTTGGAAGTCAAAGTAATAGGGCCGCACCTTGCGCAGGCCGCCCTCAAAGTAGTAGCTGGTCTCGGCAAAGTGTTCATCGCCGAAGCTAACGCCTGCCCGCCGCTTCTTCGGGGGCGGCACGACGCGTTCCCCGGTTGCTCCCCGCCGCTTCTTCCGCTTGCCGGGGCCCGGGCCTACAGTCGCGGCCTGCTCCCCGCTCCCTGCGGCCTGCGTCGCGTCCCCCGGGGCCGGCTCCACTCCTGGGCCCGCTGGCTCCGGGCGCCCTGGGGGCTGCTCACCCCTCGCGTAGCCACCCGCATCTCCATTTTGCTGAGCCGGAGCCCCCAGCCCGCTAGCTGCCTCGGCCCTGGTCGAAAGTGTTTCCGCCATGGGGCCCCTACGGCCACCCCAAGTCCTGTCAAAGGTGAGACGCCGGAGGTTGAAGCACACTCGCCCAAAAACCTGGAGCCACACGCGGCCGCCCAGCCACATGACCACCCAACCGCGGCGGCCATGTCGCGCTCTGATGACGTAACTCGGCACCAACCAATCAGTGACGCCTAGTGCCGAGGCGGGACTGCGTTAAGAATAGGAGTGAAGGAGTGAACAGAATGAGTTGAGTTGAGAGGCTGTGAGAATGATTCATTAAGTGTAGATTCCATGTAGATATGCTCGACGTCCCTTGAGTCTGGAAAGACTCTTGAAAGTTATTTTAAAACAAAACAAAACAAAACAAAATGAGGATTGCTAAACTCTGAATATCCAAGAAGCACTGTGTTGTATACTTTAAAGGGTATATTTTGTGACTTATATAACTCAATAAAGCTGTTATATATGTAATTAAGCACACACATCTCAGAAGCAATGTTTTTACACTTGTCCTTCTCCCTAACAGCATGAGAAGGACTAGAGATCTCCCATTTGCCTCCCATATGCTCGTGTCCTGAGATTAAAACTCCAAGTAGATCAGAAGATGTATTTGTCAGAGTTCTTAAATGCAAAGTACTGAAACCAACTTCTGTTAACTTCATAAGAGACGGATTATTGAAAGGATATTAGTGCCTCATAGGATTCACAAGAGAGCCGGAGAACAGGCTCAGAAACATCCAAATCAAGAGAAGCCAAGGCCTCTGAGAACCAGCCACATGACAAAAGGGTGAATTGTATGGAATGTGAATTATATTTCAATAACGTTGTTTTTTTTTTAAATACTCAAAATGTGGTCTGTGGATTAGCAACATGGGCAACAACTGCTGGAACCGCAGAATCTTTTTCCTCCTTCCCTCCAGATCAGCTGAGTGAGAATCTGCATTTTAACAAGATCCTCAGATCATCTGTTTGCATATTAAAGTTTGAAAAGGACTTTTATAGACCACGCAAAGTAGATTTTTGTCGTACCCTTTGGACATCCAGCATCTTCTCAACACTCTTGTGTGGGGAATTTCCCACATTAAGTACTGCCTCCAAGAGGTGGAATTCAGAAACTGGCCTTCCCAGCCTCCCTTGCAACTTGGGCATCCATCACCTGGGCTCCTTTGATCAGGCAGAACCTTTGGTTCAGAGGCATATAGCAGAGGAAGCAGGCACAGTGTGGAATACATGTCTGACAAGATAGCATTGGAGGTATCTGATTTGGGGGACTAAGAGTGGGGGAAGTTCTTGTGTCCAGTGCCCAGCTGCAGTGTCTATGTTCAATGGCATTGGGGTGCTCCCTGAGAAGTCCCTCAGTGAGGTTTGGACACTGAGGTTTACTCAGTGGGTATAGACCCCAAGTCTGACTCTTTGGTCCATCTTGAGATCCTGTGAACTATTTACTATCCTTTAATACTGTGGTGTACAATAGAATAGCCATTAGCCACCTGTGGCTATTTAAATTAATTAAAATGAAAAAAAATTTTTAATTCAGTCCTTCAGTTACAGAAACTGCATCTCAAGTGCTCAATAATCACATGAAGCTAGTGGATACCTTATTGGACAGCTCAAATACAGAACATTTCTATCATCACAGAAATTTTATTGTACAGAGCAGCTTTAATTAATTCCTTTTACTGCTTAAACGGCTAGAATGAGCTCTATAGTTTGAACTAAGAACTCCACCTAACTTACTGTGATAAGGATTTAAGTCTTTAATTTAAGAGCAATGGGAAAGAGTTTCTGGGGTGTGTGTGTGTGTGTGTGTGTGTGTGTGACATGATCTAATCTCCATTTCAAAAAGATTACCCTGGTTGCAACTTGGAGAAGGGACTGAAGAGTGAATCACAAGGTCTAGCTCCAATTCAGTGTGGTCTTTGACCATGAGGGTTCTAATTTAAACATTCAGACACCAAACAAGTTTTGAACATTTGCCAAGCATCACTTGGCTCTAGAGATACAGAGGTAAGAAAGACATGGTTCCTGACCTCAGTGAAGGCCTAGGCTGGTTGAGGAAACAAATATAAAACATATTTGTGCTAATCACATTGTGGTTAAAGCAGAGACTAAGATAGAGGGATGCTGACTGCCCTCATGTGGCTTCCCAGTGTGAACAGTCCTTGGGGAGGGGGAGATCACCAGGGCTTATGGTTTCAGCTTTGCAAGTCCAGGATCTGGTTTGGATTTATTCAGTGCACACACTAATTAAACTCAAAGGACACAGATGAATCGCTAAGGGTGACCATTTTTTAATTTACAACTGTAATTTTAAGTTAAAAGGTGTATTCAATTTTATACCAGCCACTGTTTGTGCCTACTGTTAAAGGCACCCTCATCCTGGTATCAAGATATGTAAGAGGCCAAATATGAAATCAAGAGGTTTTTTTGGTGAGCAGGAAATTAGAGAAAACGTCATAAGTGAGTTGAAAGGCCATGGAGCAGCTCAATGAAGCACCCATAAATCTATGACAGTGATCCTTTCTATGAATCAGATGCTACCAGATTCGTGTCACCAGGTCGGGTGGCAGTTGGAGGACTCTGTGGATCTGCCCATCCTCATATATTCCCTGTGAATAAGCACTGCCAAAATCTTGCCTATTATTTGCTCCTTTGTTTTCTAACCTTCTTGCTTTCCACTTCCTTCTGTTTGCATATTCTAAGAATGGTTATAAATGTAACAGAGTACCTTGTAGTTCCCTTTCACATGGTGGTAGTTATTACCACCATAGCCACATTGATTGGCTTTGGACACATCTAGAGATTATACCCTCAGCCAAGCTACTTCTACAGATGGTTGGCTGATGTCTTTCTTCACGTGTCTTTTGGGAGACAGTAACCTGCCCTGGAAATTGGGGATCAGGTTGGGAGGGTTGCATCTCAGCGAACGGATAACCCCTGAAGGATATCAAAGGTCATCTCCTTTAAAAAAAAAAAAAAAAGAGTTTCTGACACACATTTCCCATGACCACTCTCTCCTTTATGTACTCTGGCCACACTTCCGTCATATCCTCTATAACTCTTTGATGTTATTTGTAAACTTGTCTGTCTCCATGGCGCTTCCTCCTAAGCTTTAAGGCTGGGACCCATACCAAGTCTTACCTGTCTTGAATTCCCGCTTAACACAATGCCTCGAACACAGCATGAGCTTGATGTCTATTGACTAAATGAATGTGGGAAAGCTACATAACTTGGTGAACGGGACCTGGATCTCCTGTGAGAGTAAGTAAAGTAATCGCTTCCAACCCCATTCGAGGAGCAGAAGTCCTCTAATTTGCGTATCGAAGGGCTGAAATTTTCGGGGACAAACAGCAGCCCAGAGAACGGCCGAGGAGATTAACTTGCTCAGGTAACCAAGAAAAGTCAAGGCCTTGGAAACTGGGCTTCCCTATCTGAGCAGGAACCACGTGGAAAGCGCCGTCCGCGCGGCTGTAACGCACTTGATATGAGCCGAATCTACCTGGCCCTTGGGAAGACTGGGGCCCAGGGCGTGTTCTCCACCGTTTCCAGGCAACAACAGTCCCGCCCATCGTTTCCTAGCCCTCTGCTTCTCGCTTCCTTACCCTGCTGAGCTCCACTCGACCAATTGACGCACAGAACATCGCCAGTTTGGGAGGTGGTTGGAGGACTCCAGGGATCCGTCACCTAGAAACTCCGCCTCCCTATTTCTCCCAGGCTGCCAGCGACTGAACTGAGCTGAGCGTTTGCGGGCTGCGGGGCCGGCGGTTGCGGTAGGTGGAGAGGCGCGGGGGTGCCCAGCGTTTTGTATCCCCGGCTCCGGCCGCATTCCGAGATACCACAGAGGTGCCTCGGGGCCTCAGTCGTCCCTCCTGGCCAGTCCTTGAGGCCTGAGCGACTGAGGCCCGAGATCTGGACATCAGGGTTTTCCGCGCTGGTATGGACTTCCTGCGGGGGACCGGGGGACCAGGGGACCAGGGGACCAGGGCTCTGATGCTAGCAAAGTTTTGGTGTGGGTGGGTTCAAACGACTTCGGTATAGGGGTGGAGCCTCATTGTGACCCTTGGCATCAGTTCATACAGGGACTCCGTCACATATCTGGCCCTTTTACTTCCGGGCCATTGCGCTGGCTGGGCGCTCTCTCCTGGAATTATTCAGACCTTTTCCCAGGCAGCCTTCCTAATCTCAAAGGTCCCTCCTGTAAGAAGGTGTCAATTCATCCTATTAGATTAGATAGTTACGAAAGCCCCCGGGCTTTGTGGGTAGCCCTTCCCATTTAGCTCTGCTCAGGCTACTTTCAGTATAGAGTCCCAAACAGGCAGAGTGATAATGGGTAAAAACATGGCTTTTGGAGCGTCACAGGTCTGGTTTCCAATCAGGGATTCACTCTGTATCAGTAATGTGCCTTTGACAAGTTACCCTCATGATCCTCAGTTTTTTCATCTGTAAAATGATGACAATGTCTGTCTTTCCATTTTTCTATTAAAATAAGAACACGAGCCGTATAGCCCAGCGTCACCATGTAATGAGCACATGAGTCTTGCATATGACAGTACTCTCCGACAGTTTTCACCAAGCAGCATTTTTATTATCCTGGTGTACTGTATTTGGAACTGTGCAGGGCCTTTAGTCTGTATCCTATTGAAAACAGAATTTAATTGGCTGAGGATAGAGTGGTTGCATTTTGGAGATATTTGGAGAAAAGTGCAGAATGGTTGTCCTCACTGGAAATGTCCTAGAAATTCCTCTGTGTGTGTGTGCGTATATGTGTTAAAACATCCATAACATAAATTTTACCATTTTAACCATTTATAGATGTACTGTTAAGTGGCATTCACATTATTGTACAACCATTCCGACCATCTATTTCTAGAACTTCCCAAACTGAAACTCTGTACCCATTAAACAGTAACTCCCATTACCATCCCCGCCTCCAACCACCATTCTATTTTCTGTCTCTATGAGTTTGACTGCATAGACCTCATATAAGTGGAATCATTCAATATTTGTCCTTTTGTGTCTGGCTTATAGAAATTCCATTTTAAGGGACTTCCCTCGTGGCACTGAGGTTAAGAATCTGCCTGCCAATGCAGGGGACACAGGTTCGAGCCCAGGTCCAGGAAGATCCCACATGCTGCGGAGCAACTAAGCCTGTGCGCCACAAATACTGAGCCTGTGCTCTAGAGCTCACCAGCCACAACTGCTGAGCCCACGTGTCACAACCACTGAAGCCCACGTGCCCAGAGCCCGTGCTCCACAAGAGAAGCCACTGCAATGAGAAGCCCGCGCACTGCAACGAAGCATAGCCCCCGCTTGCCGCAACTAGAGAAAGCCCACGTGCAGCAACGAAGACCCAACACAGCCAAAAATTAATTAATTAATAAAAAAAGAAATTCCATTTTAAAAGACAAACTTCATTATGAAAACAACCTGAGTGCAGAGCCAGAAGAGGAACCTAATTACCCTTTTGTCATCTATTTCTCTGTAACATAGGAATGTAATAGAAGACATTTTAAATTTTGTTAAGAGAAACTTGATAAAAGGCTATTACCTTCCTTCCTAAGTCAGTCCTTATTCACTTGAGCTTCTGTTTTTTCAGCTCAGATTCCAAATGAAAATGTTTGAGAATGTTGACTCTACAACTACAAGACCTGGCCCGGATCTTTGGGCTGAAATCTGTTCCTGTCTGCCACATCCTGACCAAGAGGATAGTGCCAGCAATGCTTTCTCAGACTCCTTTATGGATTCTTACCCTGCAGGCACAGGCCAGAGGGAGGCCCCAGACTTTGCTGTGCAGCCAACTGTAAAGCCTTGGGCTCCCCTACAGGATTCA